AAAAAAAAAAAAAAAACTGACTATGTATGGACACACAAATACACACACTTATAGAATAGAAAAGGATACATAGTAAAAATGAACATCAAAACTTTGAAACAAAAAGGCCAGTCAACTCTTTGGGTTAAAGAAAATGCAAACTAAAATTAGAAAATTACTACATATCAGAACCTATGAGATATGAAAAGCAATCCTTAAAGGAAAATTCATGGCCTCAAATACATGAGCAAAAATAAATGAATTAAATATTTGACTCAAAAAGTAGGAAAAATATAACACATGAATATACCTAATAAAAAACTTAACAAATTGAATTCTTCAAAGGCTGTGACATACAATCAGAAAATATCAAGCAAACACATTTAAACCTTTAATTTTCTTTATTTCTTTTTACTTAGAGATAATAATTAAAATGTAAAACTGTTAAATGTACACTTATATTCTAAGTGTGTACTACTATATATATATATTTTAAGTATAGGAAGCATAATTGGTGATTTGCATTTTTGTAAGATATCCACAAAATAAGAAATATTAAGACAGTCTAAGATTAGACTGAAAACATACAAAAAGATCCATGCTCCCCTAAAAACTATTTAATGACTATCTGCAGAGGTTATATTTCATTGTGAATCCAGAAAATTTTCATGGTAAAATACTTACATTCCCAATCTCAAAGTTTTGTCTCATTAGTAGGTAAAGGGAGGCACTAGCATGTGACCGTATGGTACTGATGCTACTGCTACAGTGTCGGAGAAGCCTGAGGCATAAATCAGCACACTGCTCTGTCTCTTCTTCAAATAAGAGTTCAGGAAACTGCAACAAAACAACATCAACACTGACTTTTTACATTAAAAGTTCCAGAGATAAGTTAATATAACCAGAACTGGAAATCTATAAGCACAGCACAGAAATTGAAAGAAAGGTTAAGGGACAACATTAGCTAATGGTTAATAGCATGGACCATAGTCAGACAGACTGGGTTTGAATACTGATTATGCCACTTACTAGCTGGTAATGTGACCTTGGACAAATCTTCTCATCCATAAAATAGGCCTAATAATATTATTGATGGGATTGTTGTGAAGCTTGTATCAGATAATGTGCATAAAACAGTATAATAGTGAGCAGCATATATGAATTCTGTAATATGTTTTTGTTATTATAAAATAGTATGTAAGTTATTTTCACTCGTTAAATTGCATAAACATCTCTGTATTCTGTCTTTTAGGATGACTAAGATGAAACAGTTCCCCTCAAAACTGACGAATATACATATTTCCAGGGGAAAACAAACATAGCAAATAAATATTTGAAGCAGATGAACACACAGAAATACCTTCTTTTCTGTTTACCACAAATAAATTGATTCCACTGGGTTGAACTGCTTACACATTGAATTCTTGATAAAGTGATTTAAGAAAAAGGTAAAAACAAGAGAAGTCCCATATTTAAGATTAGCTATTAATTTCAGGCCCTTCTCCACATCAAAATTATTATTTTTTAAGCCAGAAGTTAGCTAAAAGTGATCTAAATAAATAAATTCCAAAAGGCAGGCAACAGTAGAGAGGCAAAGAAGAATCAAGGATCTTAGGTTATCATTGACATTTTAACTACAGCATATATTAACCAACAATGTGACAAATAATCTTAGACAATGTTAATAAAGACAGCAAAGCCTGACAACACTGCGGATACAAAATAACCTACCTTTGAAACCAAGGCTCTCTGTGTAGCAAAACAGTGTTGCAGATAAACTGCACTTTGGTTACAGGCCATGCTATGTAATAGCACTTTTAGCACCCCACCAAGGATGCTCTCTTTGGATTCTGTTACAGAAACAGTCTGCAATTTAAAAACAAACAAATAAAATAAAGATGTATCTGCAATTTGGTTAGGGAGGTAGAATATGTATAAACAAACATTTTTTTAAAGATAAGAAAGTGATAATGTAAGATCTAGGAGGCTTCAAGAAGGAGTTGAGCAGGATTTGGATAAGAGAAGAAAAGGAGGAAAAAGAAAATAGAGTTTAAATGGGAAAAGAAGGGGAGCAAGGATATAACGGCACAAAAACATAAGGTACTGTTTTAGGAAAACTGTTAAATAAATTTGGACTGACTTGAGGTTCATGTAGGAGATAAGGCTGAAAAACTACAGTGGTGCCTGTGGCAAAGAATGTTGGCTGTACACAAATAACCATTCTTTGCTACCTCCTTTAATAACTGAAATCCTGAACTTTAGCTGGGGACTTTGAATCCAGCTAGCAAGAGATGTGATCAAAGAGAAGTTTAACCTTCTGAGTCATGCCCTTAAAAGCACAAGTGTATTCTGTCCCTGATCTTTCTTTCCATTGAATGAAATGCAGACATGAGGCTGAAGCTCAAGCAACCATCTTGGATTATGTATCTTGGACTTACTATTTCTTTTGATTCTCTTTTAAAGAGTAGCTTAGACTTACACCAACTAATAGAGTACCAAAATATAAAGAGCCTTCAAAAGTCTGAATAGTTTCCTATCTTTTTCTTTAGGTAATCAAAGAATATTAAAACTTTTATATTTTTAAAATTTTGATCAGGGTAATGAATGATAAAATATTTTAATAATCATCTCAGGAAAACAGAGTGAATGAATATCATGAAGCAGGTGACCACTGTAATAGCTTTGAAATAAGAACCTGAAAAAGAGTGATGGTATTAGAAAAGGAATGGAAGGTAACAGGAGATAAACGTATTTACTGAAACAACTGGGAGATCTTGCTAACTGCTTTAAACCTTGGTTCTTCCACTTACCAGCTGTGTCATCACAGGCAATTATTTAATATCTCTGTGCCTAAGTATTCTCATCTACAAGATGGCGATACTGACAGTTTTGACTGCATGAGTTTCTTATAAGGATCAAATGAATTAAGATGTGTAAAGTGCTTAGGACAGTGTCTGACACAGAAAAAACTAAATAAATGGCAGTTATCACTATTGTTACTAACTGGATAATACTGCCTAGAGGGCTACTCTTAGGACCAAATGAGATAATTATAGATGAAAAACTTAAAACACTGCTGTAGCATACAGAAGATAATGAATGAATCCAATGTAGCTAGGGCTATATATGCATATTGAATATAGTTTGATGATAGAACATTCAAGAATAAATACTCAGAGGATGTTTGGAAATGCACAAGACTAGGCCTCAAAGGGGAGAGACAGATATAGATTTTATAGTCATCCTCAAAGAATAAACAGTTGAAGCTGTGGGAATTTATAATTATAGAGAATCTCAGAATGCTTAGAACTAAACTTCTAGGAACTACTGATATTTAAATGTAATTATATGGCTCAATAAAGACTTTATGCCCAACCCCAATTTACCAAACCTGCATTTTCAATCCCTCTTCTTGGTGCTCTTACCTGAACAACAATCTCTAATGTATCCAAAATGATTAAGTTTGCTTCAGTAGCCAGGTTTCCATCAATCAATGCTTCATGTTCAATCTCTGCTCTTGACCTAACACAAAATATTATAAGAAGTTATATTTATCATTTTAAAGCCACAATTCTATAAAGACTTACGGATGCACAGAAATGAAAAACTTGAAATCATTTTCAATATTTGCCTGGATAAAAAATTACAAGAGAATAAGAAAAAAGACAACATTTTACCTATTGTTTTTTTACCCTACATTTTGCTAACTATGCCAATACACATTTTCTCACCCCATTACAGAAGCACAATGCCACGAAAAGCATAAATGTTTGTTTAGCTTTCAGACATGCCGCTAACACAGTTTTATTCTAAATGGCACTGACACTAGG